AGTTTGCGTTTGCGTGTGTGTTTGCGTGTGTGTGTGTACGTGTGTTTGTTTGTGTGTGTATGTGTGTGTGTTGTGTATGTGTGTTTGTGTGTGTTTGTGTGTGTATTTGTGTGTGTATTTGTGTGTGTGTTTTTCTGTGTGTGTGTTTGTTAAGGTCTACTTCATACTCCAGCCCTTCAGTTGGAACGTATTTGTGGCACGACGTGGTGGAATCAGGCATTCGTCAATTTTTGGGGAGTATGTGTGGTAACTGGTGCCATTTGAAAGCTTGTTCACTTGCCTTGTTTTCTATGAAAAAAATACCCATCTATCTTGAATAGAAGTCGAGATATTTGCGTTTAAAAGAGGTGGGGTAGCCTGGTTTCTGAGGTGGAATCAGAAATTAGGGAGAAAAATGGCCGCCAGATTCAACAAAAAGTTCCATGAGACTGTAAATTTACAGTTTTTGTTACTTTAATCCATATTTTTCTGTAAAAATCCACGCTGACATGTGTTTTTTAAAATGACATAAAAGGTAATGAGTCAAATATCGAAAATTTTCATGTCTTGACCGAAATTACCAAACCTCAGGAAAAATGCTGTTTTCGTAGACATTTCATGTGACGAGCGCCTGATTTCTCCATGATGCTTCACATTTGACCAGCTGTGAACGTCTAGGGTCTCCATTCTCAGAGGAACCGACATTAGGGTAATCGTAACTTCCTGCGAGGTGGATAGATCGACGATTGTTTAATGAAAAGGGTTGGGTGAGGGGGGGGGAGGGGGTGTTAAAGTAGCTTCTTTACCACAACAACTGCAATAGTTGCTCAGAGAAAAGCGCACCCACATTCCTGGGTTGGCCTTCACAGGTTCTAAACATCCCACCTCTTAAATAGTCTAATTTATGTCGATAGAGGCGTATAACATTACATTTGCAGTCGGTCTGAACAATCGGTAGGCTCATTCATTGTAAACTGACTCTTGAATACAGCACAGAAAAGGGTAAAAATAAACGTAAGCCCCCAATTCCAAACCTACTTGACATATGATGCTGTACGCTCATGTTTTTTTATCCGTTTTTGGACATACAACAACTGAGAACTGGATATCTCAACAAATACTGTACTTATTGTTTTGTTTTTGTAAAGTGTTTTACGGCGCTCGCAACTGCATAGGTCATATGAGCGCGCGGGACACACCTAGTATTTTCAGTTGGTAGGAAATTTTGAATTTTGCCCGGGTGGCGGCCGAAGCCTACTCTTATCGATTTTAGACCACCAAGGGTTCTTTAACGTGCGCA